TTTTGCATATTTGTTACCGGATGTTGTTTTTCTCCCCCTCCTGCCCCTCTGGGGGAGTAGGGTGGGGGGATAAAATCATTTTTTTTAATTGAACAAAAAAGAAATTAAATTTTAAAAGAAAGAAAAAAAGACTTCGTAGATAATAGAATGTAAGCTCTTTGTGGACAAGGATCATTTTTGTCTTTGTGTCTAGTAAAGGGACCTGTCAGAGTTGGCACTTAGTAAATGTTTAATGTTTAATTAATCTGCTGTTCATCATTAAAAGTTACTGGTGTTACTCTACTACAAACTGAAAAGGAAGAGGGAATCCCAGCCTTGAGGCTGCCTTCTCTCCAGTGGCCAGGAAGGCGTCACCCTCACCGTCTCACTTCTAAGTCTCATCCTTGCGCTGCAGTGGGTGGAACAGATGAGCTTCTACGATTGATTGTTGGCTCTTTTGAAATCCTGTTGACAGGGGAACACTGTTGATTCCAACACTGCAGTATCATTTTCCAGACATCCTTACAGGAAAGGAAATGCAAGGCTCATTGCAAAATTATTGCCACTGATATGATTTAACAGGCTACAGATCAGCAGAGTAGCTACCACTTTGCCAGTAGGGCTGGGATGAATGGGAGGGGAAGCTCCCACCAAACGCCCTGCTTCACACACTCAGGGAGAGTATGGAACCCTACTGTCACTGTCCTTGGGATAGTGACACCATCATCACACATAGAGCTACTGTGATGGCTTTTTGTCATGGGGGGCGGGAACACCATGAGGAAAACCTGGATGATCCATTTTCCCACTTTCCTCTACTCTTTCTCTTTCAAAATGACTTTGCATTTCAAATAAGATCTCTAATGCAGCAGGTACTTTTTTCCCCACTAGCACAAATGGGTGAGTTATTCAATAAAAGACAAATCAAGGAAATAATTTAAAATGATAGTTTCTACCTCATAATTTCATATTCTGAGGGGACAGGAAAAAGGCTGTATCTTCTGAACAGTTTTTTTTTCCTAATTTAGTGTCAGTCAGCCAATAGGCATTTATTAAACGCCTACTGTGTGCCAGACACTGTGCTGAGCCCTGAGGATTCAAAAGGAGGCAGAAAATAGTCACTGTCTTCAAGGATCTCACAATCTATCGGAGAAAGCAACATGCAAATGTATACAAACAAAATATATACGGGATAGATAAGAAATAATTAACAGAGGGAAGGCACTAGAATTAAGAGGGTTGGGAAAGAGTTCCTGTAGAAGATGGGACTTGAGTTGGGGCTTAAAGGAAGTCAGGAGGTGGAGATAAGGAGGGGGAGCATTCCAGGCACAGGAGATAGCCAGCCAAAATGTCCAGAGGCAGAAATAGAGCATCGTGTTTGTGGCACAGCCAGGAGGCAATGTCCTGGATCCAAGAGTACATGGGGGTAAGTTAAGTAAAACATTTGGAAAGGTAGGAGACAGAGCCTGGGTTGTGAAGGGCTTTGGAATGCTAGATAGGGGGTTTTGCATTTGATCCTAGAGGTGATAGGGAGCTACTGGAGTTTGCTGAGGAGAGGGAGTGACATGTTCGGACCATGTATCAGTGGACTATTTTTTCCCCCCTGAGCCAGAGGTCTGGGATGATGACTGGGCAATGATGTCATTTCAATTTAATTAAATTCAACAATAAGCATGTATTAAACACTTACTATATCTCAGCTCTTAATATAACCTTCCTTTGAAGTCACTTAACCTCTGGGTATTCTAGGCAGTTATCTAAGACCCATAAGTTGCATAGTGGCTACCAATCTGCATTGGTAGAAGGAGATTCCTCATCTGGGAGTTACCTGTAACAATGAAATCACAGTCACTATCCCTGTGTATATTGGGCACTAGAGACTCAAAGATCCATTGCTGGATTCTACCTTCATTATGGATTCATGGGTATTAGGCTAGAGTGATACTGTAACCTCCTAGACATAATAATAACCTAGAGCAGCTGTTTTCACACTTTGGGAGTGCAGGATCCCTTTACACTAAAAATTATTGAGGATTCCAAATAGCTTTTGTTTATGAGTTACACAAATAATATCTTAGTATTATCATAAAAAGAGTTTTGACCTTGTGGACTCCCTGAAAGGGTCTCAGGGACCCTCAAAAGTCCAAAGAAAACATTTTTGAGAACCATTGACCTGGAAGTTGTGACTTGCCCAGAATCATACAATCAGAGGTACGTCTTGAAACCAGTTCCTGGCTTTGAGGACAGTCCTTTTTCTACCACACAATGCCCAGTGCTTCCTCTCTAGGCATTGAATAAATGCTTGTTGAATTAGATGAATGAATGAATGAAGCCTCCATTCCACTGCAGGAGAATCACACATAAATTTGTAAATACCAAACATATACAAAGATGCTTTGTTGTTGTTGTTGTCAATTAGTTGTATTTGTTAGGGAGAGTGTTCCCATCTACAGGCTCAGGCAGGAAAGGCTTCATGGAGCTGCTGGCTACCAAGCTGTGCTTTGAGGAAAGCTGAGGAGGTTGGGGGTCTAACTGAAGAGACATGTCTTTATTCCATGTTTCGGGATTTTTAAACATCATCCTAGGATTGGAAGCCTTCCTACTCATCCCCATCCACCCGAAGACCACTGCAGACTTCTCTCAGGGCAGCCTTATGAGCCATAGGAAGGAGCAGACCTCCCAGGTTCTCTCCAGGGAAGCCAGTCCCGTGGCCAACTTTGCAGCCCCTCCCCTGGTTGCACAAGAAGCAGGGAACAGCTTTTCAACACATTTGACAGTTAAAACAGTCTTGTGTGGGGAGCAGCAGAAAGTGGGGCTCTTTGGAATTCTATCACATGGGCTAATGAACTGACCTGGCTAAAAATCCCCCCCTCCTTCCCCCATGTGGAAAATACCTGATGGCACCTGGTCCTAAGCCAAACACCACACTGGTCAATGAGCTTTGGTACATCCAGCTCTTTCTCCGAATAGGTGTTTCTCACCATCAGTCAGTGAGACATCTATTCTCTTAATGAACATCTATTAAGCATGCCCTCTATGGAGGTGCCAGGCACTATGCTAAGTCTTGAAGATACAAAGACAAAAATAAAATAGCCTCTGCCCATTAGGAGCTTAAATTCTTTCAGAAGAGACAGCATGCATACACATATGCATATATACATACCACAAATATTTACATATATACACGTATACATAGACATATGCACATATATGTACATATGCATATGTGTGTGTGTGTATATATATATATAATATATATATACATATATAATATATATATATATATTATATATATATATAATATATATATATGCCATGCAAAATAATTGAAAGTAAGCAACAGCAGCTGGGGGAGAGTAGATCAGAGAAGGTCTCTTGCAGGAGGTAGCAACTGAAATTTGAAGAGAAGTAGGGCTTCCAAGAGGTGAAGAGGGTGAAGAGGACATGACTTACAGGCTTTTGGGAAAGCCTGGAAAAGATACAAAGTCAGGAAATGGGCCACCATTTACTGGGGAGTAGCAAGAATGTTAGTTTGGTTGAATTGTAAATGATTCATGTTTAATAATGCTGGAAAGGTAGGACGGAGCCATTTTGTGTAAGACTTTAAACGACTAGAGAAGAGTTTTGCACTTGATTCTAGAGGCAATAAGGAGCCATAGAATGTTTCATTTCAATGTTTATTTCACATCCTTTGTTTACTTATTTTCCATGTCTTTTCAATTGTACTTTCATAATACCTCTCTTACTCTTCCCACTGCTCAGACATATCATAGGCTCTGCTAAGATCATTCCTATAGCTTCCAAAGTGTAAGGGTGGGGTTGATACCTTAAGTAAGAACATTTTTTGATGGACTCAGACAATTAGAGCTGAGGGTGAAGAGGGTTGATCCAAGTCATTTTGTGAGAGACTGGGTCTTGACCTAAGCGATTTAAATAAGTGGAGGAAATCTTGCAGGGAAATGATAGTCCCATAGTACTCTGTGCTGGACAGGCTATACTTGGAGTCCTGTGCCCAGTGAAGTTTTGGGCATCCCATTTCAAAAGATATAAATCAGAGTCCATCCAGGGAAAGGTGACTCGCATGGTGAAAACTAGGGAAACCACACTGCAGGAAAGGCTTCTGAAATGCTGGCATATGTCTGAGGGAGTGAATTAGAGGATCTTAGATCTAGAGGTCATCAAGGGAGGTCAACAAGTCCAATCCTCTCATCTTACTGATAAGGAAACTGAGGCCCAGAGATGTGGAGAGACTTGCCCAAGGTCATACAGCATTAGGGGTGAGGGTTGAACTCGGATCCTCTGATTCCAGAGCCAGGGTCCTTTCTACTGTACCACACTGCTTTCAGGGGGGTGAAGGGCTACAGAGTGAGCCACCAGAGAACTGACTGAAGGAACTGGGAGCAATTCTTCTGGAGAAGGAAGGCGGAGTGGGAGGCTTTCATCTGATTGTGGGATTAAACCTCTTTGGCTTGACCTCAGAGGATAGCACTAGGAACCATGGGCAGAAGCTGTAAAATGCCAAATTGGGCAGGATATGGGAGAGACTTCCCAGCCAAGGGAGCTGCCCCAAGCAGAATGGTTGCCTCAGGAGCTACGGAGTGCTCCTCAAGGGAGGTCTGCAGCTTGTAGAGGGGATTTCAGGTGTGTTCGGCTGGTTTCCTTCTAAGTCTCTGATTCCATGAATTTTTTTTAATGTATTTTTATTTTTATTTTTTATTTTTTTAGCTAGGCAATGGGGTTAAGTGACTTGCCCAGGGTCACACAGTTAGCAAGTGTTATGTGTCTGAGGCCGGATCTGAACTCAGGTCCTCCTGAATCCGGGGCCGGTGTCCACTGCGCCACCTAGCTGCCCCTCCATGATTTTTAAAAACAGATTTTACATGGCAGACGAGGCACAAAGCCACTCAAGACACTAAAGAGACAGCATGGTGTAGCTGACAGAGTGCAGTACTTGGGGTCAGGAAGAACTGGGCTCAAATTCTGCAGCAGACACCACCACCACCAAATGGCTTTACCACTCTGGGCCTCATTTCTTCATCTGTAACATGAGGGGTTTGGACTTGACCTTGAAAATCCCTTCCAACTTTGAATAATGAGCCCAAGAGTGGTGTGTTCGGTTCTGAGCAGTGCAGTTTAGGAAGGACACTGAGACAGGGGAGAAAGGCCTGAGCAGGGCAGCCAGGATGGAGGAGGGCCCCAAGTCCATGCCATGCTGAAGGTTCTGGTGCATCATAAGCCCTTGATAAATGCCAATGGATCAATCGATTGGTTGGTTCATGGACTGACCAGACCCAGAGGAGATGTGCCAACTGTGGTATCTGAAGGACTGTCCTGTGGAAGAGGGATGAGAGAGTTGGAAGTGGATGAGGCAAATTATGACTTGATGTTAGGAAGAACTTCCTGGAGAGAAGAGCTATCCCAAAGTAGAAGATCTGTCTTGAAAAATGATGGCTCTCCCTCATTGGAGGGCTCCAGGCAGAGAATGGGTCATCACTTATAGGCAGTGCTGTGGTCAGTCTTCCTTCTCAGGAGAAGGTCCTTCAGTAGATGGTCACTGAGGTCTTTGGACTCCTCAATTCTATGACCCAATGGTGAAGGTTACTCTTCACTCCTCATTCTCAAGAAGTAACACAAATTTCAGGGTTGAGGTAATACTACACACTTCACTGCAGAATCATGAGATTTAGACATAAAATGAACTTTCGAGAGCTCATCTCACCCAGCCCCATCATTTTCAAAATTAGGGGCCTGGGTCCTCAGAGAGTGAAGTCATGGGCCCAAGGCTGCAAAGCTCCTAAATGACAAAGCAAAGATTGGAAGCTGGGCCTCTTGACTGCAGGCCCACTGGCAATTGGTTCTACAATCCCAGCCCTTGTGTCCTGGCTCTTAGCATTCCAAGCCCCATTAGCAGTCACCTGACCAGCCCCCAACTCTCCCAGCATACAAATGTGATTTAGAAAGCTGGTTGTTCAAGCATTAAGTACCAACTAAAGAGCACATTATTCATTATTTGACTTTGCCAGCCCTTGTCACAATAAATCACTCTGTGCGGTACACAGCTCAGTTCTCTGAAGCAAAATAACTGTAGCTCAGAAAAGCCCTTAAAAAAAGAATATAGGTAAATAAATCAAGCAGACATCCTTCCCCTCCAGTGAGGCATGGAGCCATCCTTCTTAGACCATAGTCTGGGCCATTCCAAAGAGAGATCTAATCCAAGCAACCCACAATTGGCTTTGCCACCAATATGAGGCACCCAGAAGGCCAAAGTGAGGTCAATCACCGAAAATGTAAAAGGTAATTAGGGCCTCAAGGTCCTAGCATAATGAGTCTGACTAATTCCTGAGTCCTCATTGTCACATGTCTCATTAGGTACATAGACCACAGCAGAAGAGGTGGAACTCTTTGGAGGTGGAAGATCTGGGTTCAAATCCTAGCTCTATTTCTTACTACAGTGACTAACTTTGATCACGTTACTTTGACTTTCTGGGCCTCAGTTTACTCATCTGCAAATGAGAATGGACTCTAAATTAACTTCCAGCTCTGATTGTTACTATCTATATGTAGCATCCCCTCTGAGGTTACCATCCTTGAAGTCTCTAGTATTAATTAGTTCTCTTAGGGAATGACTATTTCAGGTTCAAGATACTCTGTGGGTATCTAAAACTAGAACTAGAACTAATGAAGATCTACAGATTTAAAGTGTTTACCTTTAAGTGAGCTAGAGCTAAAAACATTTACTGAGATGGCTTCTGAAAAGCAGTCATCACGTAATGTTCATTTCCCTCTACAAAATCTGGGATGTGTTCTCCTACAAATTCACTGGTGGGAAGAGTGGGCCCACTCATGAAAGAATGGGTGAATGAATGTACAAAGGACTTATTAAGTGCTTACTACATGCCAAGCATTGTGCTAAGTGCCTGGAATCCAAAAAGCCATACAGTCCCTGCCTTCAAAGAGCTCCCATTCTAATGGGGGGGGGCATGTCAGATGGAAAAGTTTCATGGTTATTAGAGTGCAGCCACAAAGCAGAAGTTAATTTTTTTTTTACAGCATCTCAATTGATAGAATCATATTGGTTTCTGATGGTGAACATTTGACAGGCCCAGGACTTTGGTGACTACAGCTCCCTTTTCTGGGTCTTCAGTAGATGTGGCTGTAACCCCTGCAGAAGTTCCCAGGATGCATTGCCATGGGGGTGCTTCCCGAGATGGTAGCTGAGGGCACTGCTCTGGAAGCCTGGCTACTCCCACGGCTCTCCGGTTCAGCATCCTGGGCCGTCTTTAGCAGGATCTCAGAGGAAATAGTGGTCAAGGTGGTGAGGGGGGTCTGACTTGCCTTGCACTTCCTGTCTCCCAACTCCTCCTCAGGGGGCCTGGCTGTTTCAGCTAGGCTGGCTTGCCTGTCCTGTGTGTGGCTGGTAGAGAGGGTTGTCCCCTTTTCCTCAGGAGTGACTTCCCAAGATGATGGTTGTGAGGGGTGAGCTGGAATACATTACAAGATGCATGGAATGCATTAGGAGAGGGGCATGCCCTTAGGGAATCACGTAGCTAAGACAACCCCCATCTGTGATGCTATAGGCCCAGCTGAGCTACCTCTTCTCCCGGTGCCCTGCTGCTGTTCCCCCCAAGGGACAGCATCTCTGCTGGGTACATTGTTCTGCTGATTTCCCTCTCCCTGCTGGTGAGGATGTCTCATTGGTTAGCTTATATCGTACTATATGCCATGGATAATAAGGTTATGGGGAGGTGAGAGATTCCCTCTTCAGGACTGGATTTATCTTCCATAGCTGTCCAAGCTCCCACTGCTCAGAGCGATCTCTGGCCTCATTGACACCATACAGAGCATCTTGCTTTTTAGCAGCCACTAGGGGTGTGTTTGAGCCTTGAGCTGGCGGGTGGCTGGCTGCCCTACATTGATAAAAGGACTTCTTCAAACCTCCTAAAGAGGTCCCAAAGTATAACCCTTTCTCTACCCTTCCGTTAAGACTTTAATCCCTCATTGTCTATTAACTAACCTTTATACTAAAGAGGAGAAGAAGAAGAAAAAAATCAATTAATCAAGGGTTCTGTGATCAACCTAGGCAGCTCAGTGTCATAGTGAATAGAGCACTGGGCCTGAAGTCAGGAAGATCTGAGTTCAAATCCTGCCTCTATGATCCTGGGCAAGTTACTTATCTGCCTCAGTTTCCTCAACTGTAAAACAGGGTTAAAAATAACATCTGCCTCACAGGATTGTTATAAGAATCAAATGGGACAATGTCTATTAAGCACTTAGCACAGTGTGCAGCACACACCAGGCAATGAATAATTGCTTGTTTCTTGATCTCCCTTTTCTCCCCACTACATGTGCAAGGGTCTTTACTGAGTGATAAGCTCCTCGAGGGCCAGGCTAATGTCTTAACTAAGATCAGTTACTCCTTCCCCCTGAACCCCATCCCCCCAGCACCAAACCGTGCTGGCGCTCACAGTTCTTAACAAATGTTTCCTAAAGCAGAATGAAATTGGATGAGGGCACTAGGTCGGCCCATAACACAGACTCTGGCTCCTTCACACGCATGTAACTGATGATGTTTCTTCTGTCTTTGAGTTCTGCCAGGCTGGGGCAAGCACCTTCTATGTCATGCAGAGCCTTGTGGTGGCAGAGAAAGGGCCTGCAATTGGGGTCAGAAGACCTCGGCTGGAATCCCAGCCTTGCTACTTGTGATCTGTGTGACCTTGAACAAATCACTTCTCTCCAGTTTTCCATTGTTAAGTGAGGGTAAGGATCTCTGAGCATCCTTCCAATCTGAGAGCTCTGCTCCCTAACTGAGCACACCTCACATCCTTGCTCCCCCACTCTACACCTCCTTCCGCTACCCTCTTTCCTTCCGCAACGTCATGTCTAGAGGAAATCTTGCCATTGTGACGTTTGAGTCCGTAGGAGTAAGGAGTGATGTGAATGCAAAGAAATGGCCCCAGAATGATCTTGAAGATTAGACAGTTGGCTAACCTTCAACTGCTTCCTCTGAAATCTGGCGCAGGGAACAAAATGGAGAAATAAAAATGTTCTAATCAGCTGAATTATGGCAGGCCATGTTTCCTTACTGATTGTGGTTTCAAATTCTCATTAGTCCGGACTCTAAACAACCCAGTCACTCAAAGAGCCACAATTTGTTTTCACATACCAAAAAAATTATCATCAATGTTCATTATCATGGCCCCGATGCCTTGGAAAAGTCTGAAGTGCCTCCTGAATCATCACAGAAAGATAACCTCCCAGTCAACCAAGGCATTAAATTTACCAGAGCATCCCATTCCCTCACCATTCTAGATAAACAGGAGGTCACTGTGTTTTAGGAACACTGATTTGAGCACTGGTCTCACCGAGAAGATCAGGAAGGAGAATGAGAGCTCATATTTCTAGATTGTTTTAAGGATTACAAAGAGGCAGCTGGTTAATTACTGGACTTGAAAGGAGAAGGAACTGGGTTCAAATCCTCCCTCATTTAACTTCCCTGGGCCTCTATTTCCTCATCTGTAAAATGGCAAGTGCTACCCAGCCTTCCCTTAACGACCTCAAAGGAAGGGAAGCCCCCAGACTCCTGGGTCAGTCCATCCATCAGACTGTTCTGTGAATGTCTGGAAGGCTTCCCTGATACCAAGCCCATCTTGTCCTCTTTACAGCTTTAACTCGTGATTCTGATTCTGTCATCTTGGCACACATGGACTACGTCTAATTCCCCTTCCAAGGGAGGGCCTTCACGTGCTTGAGGACAGCCATCATGTATGTTTCCTTCTGAGTCTCAGATGGACACTCCCAGGTGCTAATGTGGCATGAACTCAAGGTCTTCTTCATTCTAGATGCCCCCTTCCTGATGCTTGGCCCATGGAGCATTGAGTCTGAGCCCTGGTCCTTCCAAGGATACTTGGGTATCAAGAGCCAAAGGTTTATTCCTTTGAGATGGTGGCATAAACCCTGGGTGGGCTTTGGTTCCAGCCTCTAATAGCTGAAGGGGCAGGAAGGCTGTATTTAGGGTAGCCATCTCTAGGATGGCAGGGGGATGGGGGGAGAGGGAAGGGAAAAAAATGTACACAATAATGTTGCTGTATATTTGAAAGGAATAGCAAGTTGTGTGTAGCAGATTTGTAGTTTCATGTACAATCATCTTTTTTTATTGTACTATGTTATGGAAATGCTTGTTTTGTTCTATAAATTAAAAATAAAATAAAATTAAAACTGTGTTAGAAAAGATTGGCCACAAGGCCTGGAGTCCACTGTCTTGCTGAACCTTGAAATAACTTTGACCTTGTGATCACCCTCTTCCTTCTGCTCTGAGAGAGCTCTTTGAGCCAGCCCTGGGAGGTATAGGGAAAGGATTGGCCTTTCCCACAATGGCATCGTGGCAGCTTTATGTATATAAATAATTATATTATGTAACAAGCTATTCTATCTATACACATTTAAATATACATATGTCCATGTAAGTTTTGCTTTGTCACATATATGACAAATGTTCTACGTATATTGTTACATGTAGACATATAGACAAAAATAAATACAAGGTAATGGGGGGGCAGGGCTGGCAGCTGGGAGGTGAATCTGGACAGGCTTCATGTAGAAGGTGAGCTGAGTTGAATCTTGAAGGAAACAGGGGATACTAAGGTTTAGAGAAAAGAAGGGAGGGAACTCCTGGCACGGAGAGGAGAAATGGAGCATTGTTAGTACAAGAAGGCTATTTTGGCTGGACCACAGATCACAAAAGGAGAGAGATGAACATTAAGGCTAGAAATGGAGGCTGGAGCCAACTCATAAAGAGCTTTCATTGCTAACTAGAAGAGGGGAATAAAAGAGGGAGCTGATACTAAGCAACAAAGCTGGGGTGACTGCCCCCACGCCTAAGTCTATGGAGGCAGGGATTTTGTGCATATTATTGTTCTCAAAAAACTGTAACGATGCCTTTGCTTATATAGCACTTTTCCTTCTGAATATACCTCTCTCCACTGTTCCCTGCAGGGAGCCTCCCTTAGTAACAGATCAAAGAGGGAGAAAACTATTCTGTAAAACCCACCACCTCCTCTTCCACACCAGAACATATAAAACATGGCCACACCCAAACCCATCACCTTCTTCAGTGAAACAGAATGAAGGCAGTATCCACATATTATTTTAGATAGGGTTTCAATTCAACCAGCATGTATTATAACCAAGTCCTGATTAATGTACATAACGAATTCCCTGGAGTGGTTCATTATTTGAATTTGTGATGTATATTTCCATTGGGCTGAAACCAATAAACCTATTTTACATGATTATAACTTTTCAAACACATTCAAACACATACTATGTGCCAGGCGCTATACTAGACACTGTAGATATAAAGTCACAGGCGGAACCCAATTAAGGAGGCCCTAAAATATTTATGGGAACACAACATTAGGATATGGGTAAAGTATTGCAGGGAGTGAGGAAAAGAATGCTGTCCATCCAGTTGGTCACTGGAGTGTCTGTCAGACACTGGGAAAACAGAGAAAAATAAAATAGACCCTGTCCTCAAAGAGCTTACAATCTAGCCATGGGAGACAACATGTACGTGAAGAAATAAATAAATACATTTAGGTAGTATCCCAAGACACCTCGATGTGGTTATAGCCCCAAATAAGGCTCATCGCTCTAAGCTTCCTGATGGTGGGCCTTCTCCAGTAAAGGAAGTGTGATTGTTTTTTATAGAACTGTGGAATCTCAGAGTCTGATGGGACCTCAGAGGAAGACTAGTGCAGCCCACAACTGAAAAAGAATCCCATCTCTAACATCTGCAAATAGGTCATCGCGCCTTCACTTAAAAACTCCAAGGTGGTAGAAGCTTCCACTTCCAGAGGCAGCCCATTCCACTTAGGGAAACCTTGGATCTAGTCCTGACATCCAGCCCTAATTGGCTTCTTTAGAGCCAGTCCTGTCCTCTGGGAACAAAGAGAACACATCCAATCCAACCTCGAACAAGAATTTCCTCTCCAGCCCACCAGTGAGGTTCTTCCTGCCGCCGTACAAAGAGGGTGAAGCCCCCACCTCCCAAGGCAGCTCTTTCCACCTTGAGGTTGTTCTAATGGTGAACAAGTTTCTCCTGCCCTCAAGCCCAAATCTGCCTTTGTAACTCCCTCCCCCCCCAATTGTAATGCTCTAATTCTGCTCTTTGGGGCCAAACTGAATGGATCAGAATCTCCTCCCACATGACCTCTCTTCACACATTTGAAGCAAGCTTATTTTCCCCTTATTTTCTTTTAGGGTGCAGGCTAGTTTGGATGGCCACTGTGTTGTCCTGACCTACCCCCTGTAGGATGATGAGTAGGACATTTATTTGTAGCAGTTTGAACAGATGAAGTGACGTTGAATATACAGGGAAATTCTGATCGGGAGGGGTTGGACCTCTGGTTTCCTGAGTGTAGGGGGCCCACAGTGTCAAAACTCTCTGTCAATACTGACTTGCAACTGCTTTGCAGCTTGTATAGTTTCAGCGAGGTAATATACTTTTAATCTCTTTATCTTTACCTTTATCTCTTTAGCAGAGACGACCAGAGTTGAGATAAACTGAGTGTGGGGGACCATTTTCCTTCTGCCTTTGTATCGCCATCGCAGAACCCAACACTTGTCACATAGTTGGTGCTTAATAAGTGCTTGTTGAATTGAATTCAATGCATGATGTGGTAGAAAGGGCTCTGAGTGTCCAGTCAAAAGATGGCTTTGAGTCCCTGCTGTTCCATTTACCAGATGTATGATCTCGAAAGGGATTTCAGAGACCTTCTAGTCCAACTCATTTTATAGATAAAGAAATGAGGCCTAGAGAACTCAAGTGACTTACCCAAGGTCATCTAGGTAATAAGTAAATTTGAACTCAAGTCCTTTGATTTTAAATCCAGCACCCATATGACCTTCACTCACATCCCTTCTCTGGTCTTCAATTGCTTCTTCTATAAAATAGAGGATTGAAGTATGGTCCCATACGTAATTTGTATATAGTAAATCTTTAATGAAATTCATTCTGCTCAGCTATTGATCCCGTAATTCCATTGTACTACTGAAAATGTATACCTATGAAGCTGAGTCTCCTTTTCTCAAAGAAGAATCCTAGATCTAGGCCTGGAGAGAACTTAATCCACACAGTCCAACACTCCTGTTTTACAGACTAGGAAACTGAGGCCCAGAAAGGGTCATACTCCTCGTTAATGGCTGCTATAATCCATCTGAAGCTCATCATCTGGGTGACCTCAGGTGAGTCCCTGAACCTCAAATGCAGGGGTTGAACAGGATGGCCTCTAAGGTTCTGACCAGGTCTAACTCCATCTATGAGTTTTATACCCATACATTGTCAGTAGTACAAGGTCACCCAAGTAGTGACTGAGACAGGCTTTGAGCCCAGCGCATCTGACTCGATATGCCCGTGCTGCATTCCCACCTCTTTCAGCACCTGCTGCTCTGCCCTGTGCTACACGCGTGATGTTGGAAGGATCTGCTGAGGCCACCCAAGCCAGCTCCCTCGACTCTCAGAGGACGAACTGGAGGTGGGGAGCAGACTGGACCAGTCTGACCTTCCCTCCACCTCTGGGCACAGAGTCTTACCAACGATATCCAGGTAGACAATGCATATACATCCTAGGATTAGTCAACTTTTGTCTCTTTCTTTTTACTCTGTATGAGTAGGTTGATCCATCCTGGCTATTGTACATATGGGAGTGTGTCTAACTCTGCCAGTATCTCCTTCAAAGCAGGAGCATCTGGAGCCTGAGTTCATTGGCCTGAGAAAGCACCTCCCAGGCAGGTGGGTGAGGAACACCTGTCTCTTGGTGAAGAGCCCAAGTCTGCCTATGAGCTCCCCCTTCACTGCCCTCCATGCTCTTGGAAATCACACGAATAGAAGACTGATCAGCCAAAGTGATCCCTCTGGGAATCGGAGTTTTGCATTTTGCAGTCCAAAAGATGCAGTATTTGTTGGGAGTTTCCCGTTGTCTCAGCTCATTAGCACAAACTGCATTTACCTTCCAAGCATGGGAGGTTTGCTGCAGTTCAGGTACATGAAGGGCTGTCTCAGTGAGTGAGAACTTTGCCCGGGTGGCTTCAGTCACTGGTGCTCAGCATGCCCAGGGGGGCTTTTCTTCTCCCGAGTCCTTAACACTTAGGGATTCTTCATCTGGAGCATCTCTGTACCTTTTCCACTTCCAATTTTGGACAACTCAGCTAGGGATTGGGCCTGTGTTTTCACTGGTCTAGGGAACTCTCAGATGCACCCCCTTTCTCCAGCCTATGGTCATAGACAGTTGCCTAGACCGCTGAGAGAGACATTAAGCATCTTGATCAGAGTCAAACAGTCTGTGTCAGAGGTGAGACTTTAACCCATTTCTTCCAGGATCTGAACTCAGCCCTTATTAGCTTCGCCATGTTGATGAATACAAACAAGAGGCACTTCATAAAGCCTGGCTGAATCAATGGATAAACCATTTCTATGAGACTCCCAGCTTTCCAAAGCATTTTTTTCAATAACAACACTGCAAAATAGAATTACAAGCATTGCTATCCCACTTTACAAATGGAGAAACAAAAGCTGAAAGAGGTTTAGTTCCCTGGGCAACGTAGAAGGGTAGTTTGAGTGCTAGACTTGAAGTCAGTCAGACCTGGCTTTGAATGCCACCTCTGATGATCATGGGCAAATAAGTTAAATTCTGAGAACCCAAGTTTTTTTCTCATCTGTATAATTGAGATAACAATGTCCTTAGTACCCACCTCAAAGGGTTCCTGTGAGATTCAACTGAGATGTCTAGAATAATATACTTTGCAGTTGGCTAATGAACACCAATTGTCAAAATTAAGTGATTTGCCAGGAGTCTCCACTGCTAGGAAGTGTCAGGAGCCAGAATTGGAACCCAGATCTCTGGACTCCGAATCCAGCACTCTCCCCACAATACCATGAGCCTCTCCAGTGGAAATGACAGCCACTCGTGCTGACTGATGCAGCCAGAGCCACAGAGGTCACTTCTCCTTTTGCATTTTCTTGAATGTGAATGTAAGGGGGTTAGAATGTGTTTCTGCTGAAACACTTTCAGTGTAGGACACCATGTTTTCCTCTCCTTTTCTGTCAGTTCCTTCATTAAAGTCAGAGCAGATTTTCCAGCTGGTGAATGGGAAAGAGGCTGCAGAATGTAAAGAGCAGAGCAGGTATTGAGAAAGGAGCAGCAGCAGGTTGGCCCCAGATGTCGCCCTTTGCCCTTGCTGGCCATGGTGCCTACTCTTCTGCCTGCCCCTCTCTGAGAGGATCACAGAGGTGGGAGGGACCTTGCAGACCATCTAGTCCAACTCCCTCATTATAGATATGAGGAAACTGAGGCACAGCAGCAAATTGACGTGTCCACAGTCCTACGGTAGAAGGAGACAGAGGTGGGATTCAAACTCAGGTCCCCTGGTTCCAAACTCAATACAATAGCTCTATGTCCTGTGTGCCCCTACAACGTGTGCTCCTACAATAATAGCAGAAAAAGAGAAAGGGCATTACAATTCTTAATAAATCTACAAAGATTTGTTTACCTGTTAGATCTCTGAATGTGAAACCTTTGTCTGCTGTCTAACAAGCTCATATGCCACTGGGGGAACCAAGCTGCAGCTGTATTGATAGCCACATTATAACTGAAGCCAGTGGATGAACATTGGAGCCAGATAGAAGGATGGCCCATTGCTTCTCCTTGGGAAACACATAAAAGAATTGGTGTTGGCATCATCCTGTACCTGAATGGCAAGAAATATCATTTCATGGGAAATTCAGTTACCACTCAAGATTTCCCATATACATATGTAACGATCCTTGAATGATCAGCATCAAACATGAACCAGTGAGACAGGTTCTTGAAGAGCTATTGGTGTGGTGGAGGATGTCTTGCAGAGTCCAAATAAAAGAGGGTTTCCCATAGATAGTAAAGCCTTCCAGATGCTCCGATTCAAACATTGCTCTCTGCTGATTTCACTGAGCCCCCACAGTTCAACAGAGCCTTCTCAATTAGTTCCATGGCTATTCAAAGAGATTGGCCTAGAAACCAACATAGGACAACACAAGTGGATGAATAACATTCATAGAGCATGATATACAGTTGGATAAGCAGCCCACTGGATTCAATAGAATTTCAGAGTTGGATGGGCCCATCTAGCCCGAGCCATACCCCATCACAATATATCCAACAAGCCTAGCCTGTGCTTGAAGATCTCCAGTATGGGGATCTCCCTCCCATCCCAGCCTTGAGATCACTTGAATTGTCAGGAAAGTCAACTTTCCAGCAAGCCTGTTTGCAGTTTCCAGTCACTGGTTCCAGTCCTTACTTCTGGAGACAAACAGTTCAAATCTAATTCTGCAGCAGAGGTTTAAACCCCTCCCCACCCCCCCACCCCCACCCCCACCCCCGTACCTCTATCTTGGACAGGCACCATAGGTGGATAATGGGCAAGGCACAGAGTGGAATAGAAGAGACAGCTGGATTGCATGTGGGAAATTCCCTAGTGCCTTCAATGATCCGCAGCTGTTCTTCCTGCAAAGGCCCATCCTTCTAATACTAATTCTGGTGGTGATGATTCAGAATGACATGAGATAAAGGAGAATTACAGATAACCCAAAAGATGACAAAATGCAAGATGAGTAACAAGAGGATGCAGAAAGATCTAGGATCTCCAGGGAAATAATCAGGAAGCAGTCCAGATGAGGAGGCTAGCTTATTACTAGACTCTCAGCTATGAAGCATTACTCATCCAAACCATTTAGTACCACTTGAAAAACAAAGCACACACGCAGAAGATCAATGGAAGAGATGAGATAAGCAAGGAAGGAAACAACAGAAAACAATAAATAGCTCAGTGTTTGATACTGGGAGTGTGTTACTGGGAGAAGGACTGGCTGTGTGACAAGAGAGGAAGGCAGTGTGGTGTAGGGGAAGGAGCACTGAGTATTGGTCCTGGAGCCAGGGGACCTGAGTTTGAATCCAACTCAAAGAATCATTCCCTATAGGACCTTTAGAAGCCTCAGTGTCCTCATTTGTAAACAGGACGTCGAATCAGAAGGGCTCTGACATCTCTCATAGCTCTAAATCTATAGTCCTGCGTACTTCTGGGAGAACAGTAGCAGAAAATAGGTTTAGAGCAAGATCTGCTCCTTTATACAACAATGGGTATGCAACCTGAAAATAATAAGTTGCATCATTTAAAAAAATGAAGACTAGAAGAAGGTGTCTTTCACAACTTTAGCTGTGAGAACCCTAATCCAAAAAAAAAATGGAAAAAATTCCAAAAGGCCAAATGGATAATTCTGCTTACATGGTTTGCATGAATAAGAGAAACTAGAGAGTAAGAAAATTCTGCATCAAATGTCATCATTAAAGATCTGACCTCTAAGATATGTATAGAATTGACACAAATAAATAACACAAAGAGCCATTTCCCAATTCATAAGCAATCAGTGGGCATGAACAAATTGTTTTCAGAGGAAGAATCAAATGGATACACACACACACACACACACACACACACACACAAGCATCAATAAACAATTTTAATGTAGAGAAAGAACAAAAAAGTACAGAAGGAGATACAAATTGAGCAGAATGAGACCATTTCCAGGCTGGGCCTGTTCACTTTTCCACAGACCACGAGGCCTCTCTCGGCCCCTCCTGGGAGCCCTCCTCTTCCATGTTGATTTCTGCAGCTTCAAGCACTGCAACTCAGACCTCCACTATAAGCAGGCTATATCAATACTTATTAAAAAAAAACTTTACACAATAGAAATACAATTTCTTATGAAATCTTTCTTTCTCTTTATATATTGAAATGTTTTTTAAATTGTGGATTGTTAAGTTCAAAATGGAAAATACAATTTTAAAAAATTGTTCAAGCATGCATTGAAATTTTAGTTGTGTTATCGAGCACCCACTCTGTAGCTTCTTTCCCAATTTCTATCCACATTGGTGAACCAGGTACCCAAATGACAGCTGACTACTATTCTCAGGAGCCCAGGAGTAACCCTACCCTGAAAGTATGAGTCTCTATACTCACAAGCCCCCTACCCTGAAAGTATGAGTCTCTATACTCACAAGCCCCCATCAATGTGTTCCCTTTGACAATCAGTCAGTCAGATATAATTAGTTTTCTGAGAAGGTATACCCAGTAGTTACAAAAACATTTGTCTCTGTTCCCTTTCACACAACATGTCCTCAGGGAGAATGTGCTCAAAGTACAAAGGTATTGAGGTAGAGAATGTATGTGACAAAGGGGTACCTCACAGCTCCTGGCCACTTATTGAGTCTTCACGGAGTTTCCCTTCAGCATAGCTCTTTGCTGACCTCTGAGGACAGGTGCCTTTGTGGAATCCATAGCCTGCATGTCTCTCTAGCACAAAGGAAATCCTTTGAAGCTGATTCCTCCTCCAGGTATCTCTCCTCCTCCTTCTGTATCTGTCTGGGTCCATGTTCATCTATATTTATCTTCAGTGTGTCTTTCTCTACTTCCCAATGGATGCCTTGTCTCAACCTGGTCTCTTCTCCCTGGTGAATTATCAATGGAAATGGGGAAGGAAAAAAAGTGAGAGAAACTCTCATTCTCCATTCCAGGAGGGATTCTTGCTAAGCCTGGACTAGTTCCCTGGTCTACCACTTCGTTATCCCCATCCTGAAATTTCTCTCAATATTTCAAGCCCCTGGAGGCATGGTTAGCTTGTTTGGTTAGCCAGTTATGTTATTCGTTTCTTGATCCATCAAAGAGTTTGCACCAGAAAATGTGACAGGATGTAGACAATCTTTTGCCCTAAATTTTGAAAACCTAATCATGTCTGTTGATTAATTGCTTGATGGAGACGTAGGTATCTGACACTTTTAATCAAGCTAGAGAGTGTATTTATTTCTCCCAAAGAAGGCAGAGTAGCTAGATCATTAGAGAGTTTATGGCATCCAAATTAAGAGATGGAATGTCTTTTTATCATCTACAACCAATGAGGTGTTTCTTTTGTTTACCACTGACAGAGCCAAAAAGGGAGGTATTACTGGCAATAATTAGTTTCCAAAAAACATCTTCTCCAAAGATGTGTGCACCAATGTTTAACCCTGATCTCTTTGTTTAATAATTCTTAAAACCCAAACAGAAACTAGATGCTTTGTTTACTGTTTTCATGGAATTTCATCTTTTGCTTCATAATTACTATAAAATATGAGTTGGAAACTGCTTGAGGGAAAAAGTCAGAATTTCCATCCAAGTAGAAGGAACTTTCGTAAGAATGTGCTTCTGACAGATTTGGCTAAAACACAAGGATAGATTGTTTTTCTTCCACAAGTAGAACAGCAAATTAAAATAACTCCGAGGCTTCACCTGCAAATCAGTGCATGTGACCAAAAAAAAAAAATAAATAACAGGAAGCGACAATGCTATAAGGGATTTGGAAATTCAGACATACTAAAATACTGCTGGTGGAGTTAGGAATTGTTCCAACCCTGCTGCTTTTTAACTTGGAATCATGTGACAAAAGGGACTAAACTTTCAATCTTTCACCCAATGACCCCTTCCTGGGCATAGACTCCAGGAAACTCACAAAATATGTGCTATCTCCTGCCTCCACGTGTTTTCCCTGGCCATCCCCCCTGCTTGGAATTTTCTCCCTCCCCGTCTCCATCTCCTGACCCTCTGATTTCCTTCAAGTCCCAGCTAGAACCTGACTTTCCACAAAAAGACCTTCCTTATCCCCCGAATGGTGGCACTTGCCCTTTGGAGTTATTTCCAGTTTCTCCCGTCCATATGTCCCTTGTATTTAGTGTTTTGCCTGTTGTCTTCTCTACTAAGCTGTGAGTTCCTTAAAGTAAAGAATGGTTTGGGTCTTTTTTTTTTTTTGGTATCCCCAGCTCTTGGCCAAGCACCTAGCACACACTAGGCACTTAATAAATGCTTGTTTACTGACTAACTCAAAGACAGAAGCATATGCTATATGCCCAAATACCCACATACTGATCATTCTTTGCAGTAAAAATGGAAGCAATGTGGGTGTTCTTTAATTGATGGAAAGACTAAAAAAAAAACCCTATGGTATCTGAACATAACAGAATATTACTATCCAGTAAGTAAGAAATGGCAAATATATGGAATTCAGGCAAATGAGAAGACTTGCATACAGCAAGGCAGAGTGAATGGAGAACCTTGAGAGCAATAGAGCCAGTGACTACAGCAATGGAATGTGAAGACCTAAAAGGCAGCTGGACTCCACATAAATGGAAAACCAGTGAGGGCTGTGGAGAATACATGGACCATGACTCTTGCCCCTCAGAGAGGTGGAGGGCTACTGGGACAGAATGGCTTATATAGCATCAGTTGCAGACACTGTTTTTGCTTAATTGTTTCTCTTTGTTACAAGGAGGGATTCAATTTGGAGGGCATGGCAGGGGGGAGATGATATTCCTTTCCAGAAGTTATAGCAATGGAAAGATAAAATGCATTAGGATAATGCATGTTTAAAAGTGAGCTGCAGCAACTGAAAATGACAGTAAGGAAATGGCATCATCAAAGATGTGTATGAATATGAGGATGAGTTGATTGTTGAAGGAGAGCAGGGGATAGGATGAGCAATGCATGAGATCAAGTTACAGAAAGACCTAGAGCAGGAGCTTTGGACCCCTTCTGTGTCCTGGATGCCTTGGCCAAAAGTCTCATGAAGCCTGAAAGGTCCCATCAGCCTTGGGACGCCAGAGCCTTTCTGATTGGAGGTTGGGGCCATGAACTCCAAGCCTCTATTTAGGGAGGGAGCTCAGCTTTGACATCTCCTCATTCCTCACCTGGCTATACTACTTTGGGATTTTCCTGACTGACTTCTCCCCAATGCCCCAGAAGCTCATTATTAGGATCACCTCATCATCCTGTGAGATCTCTCTTTTTTTGGGGGGGGGCAGTTGGGGTTAAGTGACTTGCCCAGGGTCACACAGCTAGTAAGTGTCAAGTGTTTGGTCTGACGCCAGATTTGAACTCAGGTCCTCTTGACTTCAGGGCCGGTGCTCTATCCACTGTGCCACCTAGCTGCCCCAGCCTGTGATATCTCACAGCCTTGGGCTCCACCACCCTCTGCCTCTCTGATTGGAGGATAGGTCCATGGACTCCAAGCTCCCATTTAAGGGGAAAGCTCAGCTCATAACATTTTATTTCTCATCTGTCTGAGCTATTCTGGGACTTCTCTGAACTCTCAGAGTTCATCATTCCCCCCCCCACTCCACCCCCAGTCGGGTACCTTCTCCTCCCCTACCCTAAGTCCTTTGCAGCTTCCTTCCTGCCTCAGATCAGAAACTTCTTGAGAGAAGCAATTGTCTTTATTTTGTCACAGTGCCTGGCGTATAGTAGGCACTTAATAAATATTTACTGACTAATGATGCTGGACTCCCCAGAATAAATTTGTAAATGCATAAAATGACATACATAAAATCACAAAAAGACATCAGTTATAGGGAAATCCAGTTAGCAGTTATTCAGGCTGAGAACCCTTGACCTAAAGGAAGATTTCCAGAGCCCTGAGAAAGTCACTTACGGATTATTTATGGAGAGATCCAGATGATAGCTCAGGCTGTGATGGCACAGATGGGCTACAATCTGCACTGTGAGAGTAACAAAGGATAAGTTGAACATGTCATTTTTTTTCTCCCCATAATTTGTCCTAAAATGGCCCCTTAATGCTTCAAAGAAGCAACCCTTATCTCTTAAATGAGGGGAAGATGGATAAAAGCGTCTTTAAAATCCCTTCCAGCTCAAAAATGACACACTCCCATGATTGCTAGAGAATGCTAGGTAGTGGTGTAGACAAGAAGGGTGCTGGACTTAAAGTCAGGAAGACCTGAGCTCACAGCCTCAGATACTTACCAGTTATGTGACACTGGGCAAGTCACTTACCATCTGTCTGTCTCAGTTTCTTCATCTGTAAAATGGGGATATTAATAGCACCCCATCCCAGGGTTGTTGTGAGGATTGAACGAGATAAAGCAGTTGGCACAGTATTTGACATATAGTAGGTGCTTAATAAATGCTTGTTCCCTTTCTTCCTACCTTCTGTATGCCAAGGACTAAGGATGCAATGGAAAAAATGAAACAAAACATTCCCTGCCTTCGAGAGCTGATATTCTATAGGAGAGAAACTTCATGTGTACCTTTAAGCAGATACAGAACAATTACAAGATAATGGGGAGAAGGGGATGCAGAAAGACTTTTTGTCTGTCATCTGTTTTCGGATAATTTTTTTCAAGCCTTTTATGTCCAATCTTATGATTTCTCCCATGTAGAGAACTCCTCAGAAAACAGATACAGAAGCAACAACTCCTTTGTCACTTGGAATTTAAGACTTGTCTGGTGCCATTGAGACCTTGAGTGACTTTCTCGGGATCACACAGTCAGGACTTCTTGACTTCCAAGCCAGCACTCACCACTGGGCCACACCAACACTCCCAAGTTCTCATTTGCTCCTTGAAATAATCTTGTTTTTTGGAACAAAAAATCATTATTTGATTAAAAACTGCTGGGAAAACTGGAAGACCATATGGCAGAAACCAGGTATAAACCAAAATCTCCTGCTGTATATTGAGATAAAGTCTAAATGGGAATGTGATTTACACATAAAGTATGATACCATAAGCAAATTTAAAAAAGCATAGAATAGTTTATCTGTCAGATTTATGGATAAGCAAAGAATTTAGGACCAAAAAAGATGTAAGGAGCATTACAAAATCTAAAATAGATAATTTTGATTACATAAAATTAAAAAGTTTTTGCACAAACAAAACCAATGCAATCAGAATTATAAAGATGGGAAATTTTTTTTGCAACGAGTATCTCTGATAAAGGCCTCATTTCTCAAATATATAGAGAACTGAGTGAAATTTATAAGAATACAGAACATTTCCCAGTTGATAAATGGTCAAAGGATATGAACAGGCAGTTTTCAAAGAAAACAAAACTATCTATAGTCATATGAAAAAATGCTCTAAATCACTATTGATTAGAGAAATACAAGTTAAAACAACCTGAGGTACTACCTATCAGAGTGGCTAATATGACAAAAAAGGAAAATGTTGGATATTAGAGGAGAGGTGGGAAAACTGGGAAAACTGTTGGTGGAGTTGTGGACTGATCCAACCATTCTGGAGAACAATTTGGAACTATGCCCAAAGGGCTATAAAACTACGCATACCCTCTGATCCAGCAATACCACTGCTACTTCTACATCCCAAAGACATCTAAAAAAGGGGGGGAGGACCTATTTATGCAGAAGCTCTTTTTGTGGTGGCTAAGAATTGGACATCAAAGGGATGGCCACCAGTTGGGGAATGGCTAAACAAGCTGTGGTATATGATTGTAATGGAATATTATTGTGCTGTAAGAAATGATGAGCAGGATGATTTCAGAAAAACCTGGAAAGGCTTACATGAGCTGATGCATAGAGAAGTGAGCAGAACCAGGAGAATGTTGTACACAGTAACAGCAATATTGTTCAATGAAGAACTGTGATTGACTTAGCTCTTCTCAGCAATCC